TGGAGTGCAGTGGCTTCATGAGAGGTAATTTACTCCCCCTCTTTATTGCTCTCTCTCTCTCATCTCTCTGCCCCTCTTCCCATCATAATTTTTAGAGAATATATTATTATATCTGCAGTTTCCTTTTTAAATATTACATATATCTCCAATTTCTGAATCCTGATCGTTGCAGAAGAACATGGGCGTCATCGTCCTAATCCTCAATATATATTCCATCTTATAATATTATATTTAAAAAAAAAGATATGGGTAACCCACTCATTTGATAAGATATATATTGTACATATTTCAAATATTTAATAAATATTATTTTAAATAGATGATAACATGATGTTTGTGGAGAATGATTCCAACTAAATAGAACAAGGCGAGAAGATGAAAAAGATAAAGCTGCCGCCGCTGTATCAGTATATGCATATCTGCATTTTTGCATTTGTCTTCTTCGTATCTTTCATATCAAACTGCAATTGTCTCCACGTGTCTCCTCACCTGTTATCTATATGTTTTTAGTATCTTGGTTAGAGTTTTTTTTTTCCTTTCGTGAGAGGTGTTGCTTAATAGATATCTTGATTATGCATTACAATGGTGAATACATTAATTATGCAACTCTATTGACATGTCCTTGTCGTCAACAAGAAACCCATGACAACTTTTCTTCCTTTTGATGTTTTACATCAATGTTCTGTTCTTTTCAATACACCATAAATTAGCCTTTTCGATTTTTTTTTGGTTGATAAGATGAAAAGTATGCGATTGAGTAGTTGTTCTGATGAGGGGATTAATCCTCGTCACCTTGGTATTTGACTCCATGGGCCTTGTATTATAGTTCTTTTTTGTAATGGAGTGTATTATATTGAGGTCCAGACTAATCTCGGAGACAAGAAACATTTACGTGGTTTAAAATATACACTCCTTACTAAACTTGAATACCTTGTATTATAGTTGCGTGGTAGATAGCGACAATCAACATAGAGACGTGAATTAAACGTCTGGTGTCCCTTTTTTTATTGTGGAATTCATAGTCTAATCGGTAGGTGTGGGTGGTACAACAATCCACAAAAAGATTGGTCTTGAATCTTGATTAGGGAAACTTTATTGAGCTTTTTAAAATCTCCTAATTGACTCTTTTGAGTTGTTACTTTCTGTTCTTAGTATATTGCCTTATTTGGGAAGTTGAAAACTACCCTCCTATTTATTTTCTTGTCTAGAATCCAAACTTGTACATGTTAAAGGTTTGAGGTTACTCCACCTTTGTCTACGAGTACTTAATCTTCCAATTCATTAGTCTTGTGCACGGGGTGCATAGATAGATCAGCGTAGAATAAAAGAAGTGTTGCTGTTTTCAACAACAAAAAAATGCTAGGAAGGTATAGAATGCTAAGATACTGATTGAGTGTGAATACTCACATAATTTTGGTGATAATTTTAAAAAAATATATATATAGAATGCGGAATCAGAATGGCTTCAGCAGGGTACGCGGTGTTTGGGATGGACTACGAAGGCCACGGTCGGTCCAAGGGCGCCCGCTGCTACATCAAGAAGTTCGCCAACATTGTAAATGACTGCTTCAACTATTACACCTCTATCTGTGGTATGCTTGGCCATCTTCTTCTTCTCCTGTTGTAATTGTAAGCTCAAAACGTGTTTTCTCTAAGAAACTACCAACTGAACCAATAATAATAATATTATTCTATAAAACGTGAGCTGCGTCAAGGAATATACAATTTAGGATATAACCATATATATATATCAAGGAACATACCAATTATAAAAAAAAAGGTACTATGCCTGAATTTTTGCTTGTGGGTTGAACGTAAAACTTTTTTTTTTCTTTTCTCTTTTTGTTATCCCTGTTGCAGCAAAGGAAGGATACAGGGAGAAAGGGCGATTCTTGTATGGGGAATCAATGGGAGGCGCAGTGGCCCTGTTGCTTCACAAGAAAGACCCTTCCTTCTGGAATGGTGCCATTCTTGTCGCTCCAATGTGTAAGGTTAAAACCCTGTTATATAGTCCTCAGTATTATATAAACAGCTATTATGAAATGATGTCCTAAGTGCCCGGTTCAGACAAAGATCTGTTGATGATGTTAGACCAAAAAAAAAGGAAAGTTCATATGTAGATAGCGTTGGTAAATGCATCTTTTTTGTAGATATCAGAGAAAGTGAAGCCGCATCCGGTGGTGATAAATCTGCTGACAAGAGTGGAAGAGATCATTCCCAAGTGGAAGATTGTTCCAACAAAGGATGTCATCGACGCTGCCTTCAAGGACCCCATCAAGCGAGAAGAGGTCTCTTCTCTCTGTCTGAAACGTACAGTTGAATGAAAATGAATCACTTTTCATAAAACTCATGTTTGATCCGATGCAGGTTAGGAACAACAAGCTGACATACCAGGACAAGCCCAGGCTCAAAACTGCCCTCGAAATGCTCCGAACCAGCATGAACCTCGAAGACACTCTTCATGAGGTGATGATTACCATTTCCCCCCTACCCTTTTGGTTTCTTTCTCGGATAACTGAGTTTTAATCCCGGGATTTGGACTGACAATGTGAATCCCGATATCCGATACAATATCATGTAGATAACAATGCCGTTCTTGGTGCTGCATGGGGAGGCAGACACGGTGACAGACCCAGAGATAAGCAAAGCATTGTACGAGAAAGCAAGCAGCATAGACAAGACCATTAAGCTTTACCCTGGAATGTGGCATGCGCTGACGTCAGGTGAGCCCGACCACAACGTTGACCTCGTCTTTGCTGACATCGTCTCCTGGCTCGACCTCCGTACCGGCGACGCTGCTTCCCTCACCGTCACTCCCATCCGCCACGACTTTAACTTCTCAGCCAAGAAGGCAACTGACGGAGAAAAGAGACCTAAACGGTCACAGGGCAGTCTCCTCTGCGGATTGAACGGTGGCCGTTTGCTCCATCGCTCCGCTATGTAATAAACAACAATAATGGATGAACTTGTCCTGAGGAGACAGACATTGTTGTTGTTTTTAGGGGTAATGCAATATTGCTATTGGCCCTAAAAATAACGAGAAAGTTGTGTGGTAGCAAAAAGGGAAAACAAAAGATTTTTAAAGTCGTCCTGCTACAATTACAAGAATGACAACACAGAAATCAAAACCAGAAATAACATTTTAAGACGAAAGAGTGGCCGTTCAGGCGGAGGAGGAGTTGTGGTCGCCGAAGATGCGGAGGCGGAAGTCAGAGACCATAAGGGGAAGGCCGTGGCGGAGAGAGACCTTAGGCTCCCAACCGAGAAGCTCCTTGGCTCTGGTGATGTCTGGTTTCCTCTTGTGGGGATCGTCCTCTGTGTTGGGTCTGAACTCTATCTTGGCATTCGGGTCTATCGCCTCTTGCACCACCTGAGCCAGCTCCAGCATTGTGAACTCACCCGGGTTCCCCAGGTTGAACGGCCCCACATGCTCTCCCTCCATCAACCTCATCAGCCCCTCCACCTGTTGAAGGTGCACTACTTTTGTTGAATTTCCGATTTTATAAATTGGTAATTAGGGGAAGAAAGCAAAACCCTTACCAGGTCAGAGACATACCCCCTCCACCTGTTGAAGGTGCACTACTTTTGTTGAATTTCCGATTTTATAAATTGGTAATTAGGGGAAGAAAGCAAAACCCTTACCAGGTCAGAGACATACTGGAAGCTCCTTGTCTGCTTCCCATCACCATAAACAGTCAACGGTTCTTTTCTCAGCGCCTGCTCCATTCAATATTACCGATTAAACCCCATCATTTGCAACCCTTTTCATAATTTTGATAGTGTAATTAATTACCTGCGCAACGAAGTTGCTAACCACGCGGCCGTCATCGATGCACATCCTGGGGCCATACGTGTTGAATATACGAGCAATCCTGACCTGCAACCCATCCACGAAGAAGAAGACACCACCAAGTTTGCATCAGCTCTTCCTTCTCATTGGGACGTTATCAGTAATTGATTGGCTTCGACCAAACTGACCTCGACGTTGGCGCCCCTGTGGTAGTCCATTGTCAGCGTTTCAGCTGTCCGCTTTCCCTCGTCGTAACAACTCCGAACTCCTGTGTCCACATTACGACATTCCCGTCATAACCCATGTTTCCTCCGTCAAATCTACAGTCAGTAGAAGATATTATCGGGTGTGCGGTCCACCGTCATGAAGACCCGCTATTTAAGGTTTGGTTTCTGTCTGTGCATCATGGGACCAGATCGGAACCCACAGCACATGAACCGCACCATAAAAACTCCTGTTTCAACCAATTACCAATGCGACCCTACGCCCTATGTGCTAACACGTGCGCCTCTTCCCGACACGGACGAGGAAAAATCAAAACACAACCAAAGAGAACGGACAAAGTGGCTCATCAAAGAAAACGTCATCATGTCACGTTCCCGAGGTTGGCACGATCACGCGCGTTTTCAGATTCCGAATTCCGATCATAGAGGGAGTATGAACGACTGGATCAGAATAGACAAAGCGCAATGGGGACAATTGAAAAATCGGGGAGGCTACGGAAATGATTAGGAAGATAACGGGGGTATTACCGATGGGATTAACGTTGCCCCAGTAAGTCTCCACCTGCGGGTGCTGAAGAGGATCTCCGTACACCTCGCTGGTACTCGTCAGAAGAAATCTGGCTCCGACCCTCTTCGCCAGACCCAGCATGTTCAGCGTTCCTACCACATTCGTCTTGTATGACCCTCACGCCAGTCAAGGAACAACACCCACAACGAACACAACAATTCAAAAACATAGAATCGAGATGGAACCCGGAATTCACATTCGAGCACGCAGTTCCGGAATTCGAGACAAAAAGCGGAATTGAAAGCAATCATTTGAAAGGATATGATGGTCTTGACGGGATTGAACTTGTAGTGGACGGGAGAAGCAGGACACGCCAAGTGGTAGATCTGATCAACCTCCAGAAGGAGCGGCTCCACAACATCATGGCGGATGAGTTCGAAATTCGGGTTGCCGAAATGGTGCATCACGTTCTCTTTCCGACCGGTGAAGAAGTTGTCGACGACGATCACGTTGTCCCCTCTCGCGATCAGACGGTCCACGAGGTGCGACCCGACGAACCCGGCCCCACCCGTCACCACGATCCGGAGGCCCTTGCGTTTCAGCCCCAGAGGAATCTTACCACCCGCTGACCCGATCCGGTTCAGGTACTCGAAGCTTGGCTTCTTCTGCGCCTGGAACGCCGTAAGGTACGAAGACTCAGACCGGAGCCCGTACCCGGAAAACGGATCCGAGTAGGGGATGGGTTGAGTGGAGCGAGGGAAAATGGTGAAACCCAAGGTGGCAATGGCAATGCCGACGAGGACGAAGATCCGGTTCAGGTACTCGAAGCTTGGCTTCTTCTGCGCCTGGAACGCCGTAAGGTACGAAGACTCAGACCGGAGCCCGTACCCGGAAAACGGATCCGAGTAGGGGATGGGTTGAGTGGAGCGAGGGAAAATGGTGAAACCCAAGGTGGCAATGGCAATGCCGACGAGGACGAAGACAAGCCTCTGTTCCCGGAGCATGTAACGGATGGAAGGAGTCACGAAGAACCATGGCTTAATGGGTTTCGGGTAGTAAGCGTCGACGGAAGGCTGGTCCGTCTCGTATCGCCGGTACATCAGCTCGGATGCCATCTTCTTCGTCTCGTTATCTCTTTCTTCGAATCAAGTTTGAGCACAGAGAAGAGATTTTTCGATCCAGAAGGAAGAGAGAGAGCGAAAGTAATCGTATAGAAAATTTCCCGGGTTGTCTTTAGTTTCTGGGAAAATCTCCGAGTCGAACTCGGCGGGGACTGAATCGACCTTGAACGGGAGTGAAATGCGAATGGACTTTGTGTATTTAAGTAGAGGAGGCGTTACAGTCAAGGCCCGTTGTTCGCCATTATTACGTCAATACCCCTGCAATTACTTCTTCGGAAATAAATTGGCAAGCCGAATCAATTAAAGAATTATGTAGTCTTGAATTCTATAATTCATGAGCAAGAGATTAAATACAATACCAAATAAAACCGTCAATTAAATTGGTGTAATTAAGAAATCGACGGATGGAGAAGAAGACACAAAAAATCGAAAAGATGGGGATAAAATTTTGTTATTTTGTTCAACATATCATATTGAAGACTTAAAATAAGAAATAAATCAAGTAAAATTAATATTTTTATACGATTTTGTCCAACATTAAAAAATAAAAATTATAAATTTTATGTTCTAGAAAAGGAAACCGCGACCCAAAAAAAAAAAATCTAAACCAATCCAAATATATATTTAAGTAGCAATATATTACAACATTTCTAATTTATTACCATTTTCAAAATGAACATTACGTATTAGAGTATTGTATTGCGTGATATGGTGGGCATATCATCTCATATCATTTGGTGGACTACTCTATTTTGCAGGAATCTATTTATTATTTATGTATTTTTTTTTTCTATATATACACCAAATCATTATATATGATGCACACCACTATATATATATGAGTATTGGGAAAAAGTTAACATCGTGATTTTTTTTCTTTAATCTATATATATAAGAATATATATATATATATATATATATATGAGATGAATTGATTAGCAGTAGATGCATGCATGATTTACCGAATTTGTAGGTGGGTTGTTTGTCATGTTGGAGTAATTAATATTATCATTAGTTAATAATGGACTAAATAAGAGAGCATGTAACGGATGGAACGAGTCACGAAGAACCATGGCTTAATGGGTTTCGGGTAGTAAGCGTCGACGGAAGGCTGGTCCGTCTCGTATCGCCGGTACATCAGCTCGGATGCCATCTTCTTCGTCTCGTTATCTCTTTCTTCGAATCAAGTTTGAGCACAGAGAAGAGATTTTTCGATCCAGAAGGAAGAGAGAGAGCGAAAGTAATCGTATAGAAAATTTCCCGGGTTGTCTTTAGTTTCTGGGAAAATCTCCGAGTCGAACTCGGCGGGGACTGAATCGACCTTGAACGGGAGTGAAATGCGAATGGACTTTGTGTATTTAAGTAGAGGAGGCGTTACAGTCAAGGCCCGTTGTTCGCCATTATTACGTCAATACCCCTGCAATTACTTCTTCGGAAATAAATTGGCAAGCCGAATCAATTAAAGAATTATGTAGTCTTGAATTCTATAATTCATGAGCAAGAGATTAAATACAATACCAAATAAAACCGTCAATTAAATTGGTGTAATTAAGAAATCGACGGATGGAGAAGAAGACACAAAAAATCGAAAAGATGGGGATAAAATTTTGTTATTTTGTTCAACATATCATATTGAAGACTTAAAATAAGAAATAAATCAAGTAAAATTAATATTTTTATACGATTTTGTCCAACATTAAAAAATAAAAATTATAAATTTTATGTTCTAGAAAAGGAAACCGCGACCCAAAAAAAAAAATCTAAACCAATCCAAATATATATTTAAGTAGCAATATATTACAACATTTCTAATTTATTACCATTTTCAAAATGAACATTACGTATTAGAGTATTGTATTGCGTGATATGGTGGGCATATCATCTCATATCATTTGGTGGACTACTCTATTTTGCAGGAATCTATTTATTATTTATGTATTTTTTTTTTCTATATATACACCAAATCATTATATATGATGCACACCACTATATATATATGAGTATTGGGAAAAAGTTAACATCGTGATTTTTTTTCTTTAATCTATATATATAAGAATATATATATATATATATATATATGAGATGAATTGATTAGCAGTAGATGCATGCATGATTTACCGAATTTGTAGGTGGGTTGTTTGTCATGTTGGAGTAATTAATATTATCATTAGTTAATAATGGACTAAATAAGAAGACTGTTGGAAACCCCGCGAGCTGGGGTAGGCTTGGCTTATAAACATTAACATGTACATGCCACGTGGCGCTCTATAATAACCACGTTTTCTGCACCCTCCTCCTCCCGCACCTTTTTTTTTACCCCGGACGATATATTATTATTATTGTTTATTTAATTTAATGTATGGAATTCTTAGTCTGCTTGAATCTGTATATATATATAAAAAAAAAAAAAATCATTCGAGCTGATTATAATAAGATATATATTCAGGAATATCAGGAAAAGGGTAAAATATGAGAACGAGTGAGAAATAATGGGTTGTCATGCAATTCAAACTTAGATAAACGGAGGTACAAAACATTTATCCTATCCTAAATTCGAACTTGAAAAATAGTGAACTGATTTTCGATCTCAAAATTAATTTGATTTTTGGTAAACGAGATCTTAAAATTAATCCCGTTAACAAAAAAACAATGGATTGTCATCGAACCTACTCTTGCAAGATTAGTTTTATTTAACAAGACCACCGTAACATCTTTAGCTATTTTTGGCTTTTTTTATACTATCCTCTGCTGTGGATGTTTTCAATTTTGATATAAGGTTTTGCAACCGTGATGTATTTGTAATTGATTAATATATTTACATTTAAAAAAAAAACAATGGATTGTCATGGTGTTTCAGCTTTATTTTTTATATATTCAAACAACACAACACATGGCTTTATTATGTTATGTGACATGTTTTGTTCGCAATGCAAAGAACCGGGGGAGGCAACCAAATCAAACAGATCCGATGGCAGCAAAAGCAGCCAGGTGGCATTGTCCTGTCCGTCGGATGAAACTGTGTTTTTTCCGTCATCGAGTCAAACTCGTCGACACCCACTTCCCCTCCAAGCTCGTTAGGTTTTAGATACGGCCGACGATACTGGACCCCACATGTCGCGCTCAAATTTCCATAGAAAAGGCCCAAATCATAGATAACGGATGGCCCATTAAAACCACTCACCGGCCCAATAGGCGTTGAAACTAAAAATCGATCTAGCATTTATTTATATATATATATATACAGTACCTCACACGTACGTGTCTATATATACATATATATATATATATTATAATCAGCGAAAGCATATATAAAACAAAACAGCGATATTCATGTAGTATCCACTAACTTTTTTTTTTTTGGTAAGAGGTGATTTGTATTATATACCGAAAAGTTACATCCGAACAATTGTTTGCATACAAAAGATTTGGAACCCACTAGGAAATGGTAACTAAGGTAGAAAACAAGCTATTTGATTAATGTCGTGTTTCTCGCGTCAAGTAATACCAATCTGCAAGTAAAGATCTCCTATCATTACGGGAATTTCCTTTGATAGATAGCAAAATATTCCGAATAGTCCGGTCCACCTTCCAACGTGTGTGTTCAATTGATCTTCGTCTCCCTCGAAAGATTCGATGATTTCTTTCCTTCCATAACTCATATATCGTTGTTTGTACGAGGAACTGGATGATTCGTTTGTTGTCTCTTCCTTCGCTTTGTGATGCATTTCCTACCCAATCCATGCATTGGTCAATGTTTGAGGGTGGCCTTTGACCACAAAGTCTTGCGTAATACATCCAAACCTGATTGCTATATCTGCATTGGAAAAACAAGTGCAGATGTGTCTCCTCTGTCGCGTCACATAGAACACATGATGCCTCTGTTATCACTCCCCATCTATGCAACCTGTCTTTAGTAGGTAACCGGCCCAACATGACCTGCCAAGTGAGAAAAGCATACCTAGGGATGGCTTTAGGAAACCAAGCAATTTGATGCCACTGTACCAAATCATCATGTTGTCGGATATGGTCCCAAGTTCGGCTAGTGAGGAAATAGTCTCTGTAATCATCAGCTGCGTATTTCCATAATGTCTGGTCCTGCTCATCATTCTCCTGTGGTGGTGGTATAGTCGATAACAAGGTAAGGAAGGCTTGCTGCCTATCCGATCTTGCACTCGGTAAAGCCCAGCCACTTCCATTTACAGCACTTCGGACAGTCGCATAGAGCGGAATACGAAAGCTACGAGGTCCCGCATCTCCAATGTAATTGATCAATGGTCCTAGAGAAGTCCAAGGGTCATGCCAAAATAGAGTTCTTGCACCATTACCAAGCCTGATTCGGATGAATTGTTGAGCCAACTCTTTCAATCCTAATAATTTCCGCAGATTCCAAGAGAAGCGAGGAGATGGTACCGTGTTCCAGAATCCCTTCACCTTGAAGATATTTTCTTTTGTCCAAGCAACCCATAAAGAGCCTGACTGAACAAAATCCAGATTAGTTTTAATCGAAAAGCGGTATTGTAATCAGCAACACTTCGCAGACCCAACCCTCCTTCTCGCTTGGGTTTACAAATGTTTGCCCATGAGACCCGACGTCCACCGGAACCAGTGGGGTTACCAGACCATAGGAAGCTCGAACATAGGCTGTCTACTTGTTTCGTGAAAAACTTCGGCAGTAGGAAGACCATCCCCCAAGCATTAATTTGCCCGTAGATGACAGAGCTAACTAGCTGGACTCTACCTGCATAAGACAGATGCCTGGTTGTCCACGTAGTTAGCTTTGCCTTGATTTTCTCCATGAGGGGTTGGTAGTCTGCCTTGGTAAGGCGAGTGTGGCTGAGTGGGATGCCCAAGTAACGAACCGGCAGCGATCCTACTTGGAATCCTGTCAGCACACTAATCTCCGAGGCCTCTTGTGTTGATAGCCCACCGAGGAAAATCTCCGTCTTTGTCATATTGAGGTGCAAACCTGAATACTTGCTGAAAGAATCCAGGAGCTCCTTTACTTGCAGTAAGGATTGGTTGTCACCCTTTGTGAATACCATGACATCACCAGATTGTGCGAAAGAAGCGTCAAACTTCCAGCTTCTACATTTACGTTAATGGAAGCAGTGAACGTCCAGACGCCGGAGAAGTTAGTGGAGGCTCTTGGTCAGGGTTTCGGGGTTACATTGAACAACAGTGATTGGGGAGATGGGGTCCCCTTGCCGAAGGCCTTGCCTTCCCTTGAAATATCCAGCCAATTCTCCATTTACAGCCACTGAAAATTTAGGGGTTCCCATGCATGTTGCAATCTGTTCGATGAAAGACTCAGGCAGGTTTAGTGCTCGAAGTATTCTAGTGATGAATTCCCAACTAACCGAGTCAAAAGCTTTCCTCAAATCAAGCTTCAACATTGCACGTTTGGTTGCACTTGGCCTATTATATTCTCGCACAAGTTCTGTGGCCAATAGGATATTTTCTAACATCAATCTTCCCTTGAGAAAAGCTCCTTGATTTGGCGAGATTACAGCCTGTAGGATCAGCTTTAATTTCTTCGCTAGCAATGTGGATATGAGCTTGTAGACGGTATTGCAACAACTAATAGGTCGGAAGTCTTTCAACACCACTGCCCCTGGTTTCTTGGGAACCAATGTAATTATCGTGGCATTTAATTGTCCCAACAATTTGCCTGTCTGAAAAAACTCCTGTACAGCCTCTGTAACTAGTTTCCCCGTCGTTTCCCAAGTAGAGACAAAAAATTCTTTAGGAAAACCATCCGGCCCCGGGGCCTTATTGTTAGCCATGGCAAACAAACATTGCTTAATATCTTCCCCAGTCGGCACGGCCGTAAGGATAGCCGCAACCTCATCCGGACATTCAAATGGAATAAGCTCTCTCAGTAGTTCAACAGATGGTGGCTCAGTGGATATATCTCTCCGACCAATTTGATTGACAAAATAGTCCACTACATGTTGCTTGATCTCTGCCCTCGATTGCAATCTGTTACCAGCTTCATCCTCCAAAAAATAGACGTGATTTTTCAGAGTTCTGGCCTTGACCACCTTATGAAAGTACCGTGTGTTCTTATCCCCCATTTGCAACCAGTTTATCCTTGATTTCTGTCTGTAGAAAGCCTCTTCTGCCGTGACAAGCATCATCCATTGAGCTCGGAGGTCCTGCTCTGTAGCAACACGTGTAGGGGTCGGGCTTGAGAATAGATCCTGCTGCGCTAGTTTCAATTTCTGAGCCACAAATGGGGGATAACTTAATTGGAGATAGATCCACTAACTTAATTGGAGATAGCGACGATAAGACACGGCTGTGCCACTTATTATTACACATCTTTATAATCACAGATA